AAGCTACCGGCAATAGAAATGTTTATAGAGGATCTCACATGGCCTATAAAATACTCCTTAATGACAAACCCCTCTGGACCCTTGAGTGTCCCTGGAATTATCGATCAAAAAACATTTTTGATTAACCAACCTATTTAATGGAGTGATTACAAGAGAGAGTTTACATTTGATCACGTGTAGAGATAAATACCTGATGGATTTTCCAGTTGTTGTGCATTCTAACTGCAAAAGTTTGTCTTCAGTAGTAGGGTTGTTGTGCGAACAGTTCGGAAATAGACAATATCTTGTGACGGAGATTTGGCAATATCCATTAGTGGGATAGATCCGTTGCTGGAGCAGAAACTTGTACAATGCGTATAAGCACGTTTAATCCATGATCTGAAAACCGCCAATTTGATATGCTTAGGATCGATTGATTGGCGTGGGATGATAACGGGGAGAGATCTGGACCGATATTTACCGTAAACCCTGCTTTCAACAAGCAGGGTTTACGGTAAATATCGGTCCAGATCTCTCCCTGCTTGCATGTAATGGAAATGTCGAGGAAGTTAACACTGGAGTCGCTCTTCTGGTCCAGCTGCAATGTTAAACCGTAAGGGTTATTGTTGAGTTTGTTTAAAAAATATTGCAGGAGAGATCTGGACCGATATTTACCGTAAACCCTGCTTTCAACCTGTTATCATCCCACGCCAATCAATCGATCCCAAGCATATCAAATTGGCGGTTTTCAGATCATGGATTAAACGTGCTTATACGCATTGTACAAGTTTCTGCGACACAATAAAGGAGCTAAGGTACATTCTTAAAATAGCCCAACTAAACGGATATCCAAAGAAAGAGATAGAGGATCTTATTTCATCCTTCCAATCCACTACACGGCATTCTCCCAAGATTGACCCTAATAAACGAATAGTGCTTAATTACGTACCATTTCTGAACAGGATACACACATCTACTGCCAAGTCTAATAACTTACACATTGTATACAGGCGCAATCCCACTATTTTCAAACTATTGAGAAACGACAAAAAGAAAGAGGATCGGAATTCAACAACGGGTATATATTCAGTGCCTTTACATGATCAGCGTTTCGATTCCAGGCTAGTTTACGTGGGTGCGACGATGCGCGGTCTGAAGAAAAGGCTCAAGGAACATAAGTACACTATCGATAAGAACCTTGATAACACTGTGTTAGCATCGTACGCAAAACAACAAGATATAAATGTGCTATGGGATCAGGCATCAATTATAAAAACGACAACTAATCGGCAAACGATCAAACATCTAGAGAAATTGGAAATCTATAAAGCGCACATGAAAACCGGTTGTATAAACCATAGGGACGCCGACTCATTGTCCACTGCGTGGAGATCCTTTTACAATTATTAATTTTTCACTATTTATTTGTTAATTTTTCATTAGTTCGTCCACTAGGGCGTTTTCCGTTAATTTTTATTTTTGTATTTATTTCGAACGCATTTTATGTTCTATATTTAATGTTCTATTTTTGGTAACTGAAGATGATCGTTGAAAAACGATTGAAAACGTTTTTATTTTATTAAATTTTGCTAGATTTATATCGGTGTAGTTTATTTTTCAACTTATTCTACTTCCAGTACGTATTGGTTATATATTTTATTCTTGTTGTTATATATTATAGTTTGACATTATAAACATTATTAACAATTTACTTAAATACATATCATTTTTGATGTTTTTTGCTTTTCTGTTAAAACTCTCCAAAATTACTACCACCATAACCCAAGTGCAGGCCTGGAACTTGATCAAATCCAAATTTCACGTGACACTAGTGTTGCCATCTTTTCAAAATTGCTGACCCGGACGGCAGGTGAGATTTGTTCGAACAGAAGTTCCTAACGCATGCGCAATGTCATTTTGCAATGCAAAGAATAACGTGCAGTGCATGGCAGTTCTAAATCAGTTACAGTTAGGGTCTAGGGAGACTTGGGTAGGAGTAATGTGAGACCCGAAAGGCCCTGGGCCTAATTTAATAATTTTTATTAAATATGTTTAAATATCGACACAAAATATTACTTCATTTTTGTGAAAAACTAGTGTTTTGGACGTGGGAAAAGATAGATAACAGATGTTACTTCCGTTAAAGGAAGTCCGTACATCCTCTGTTTTTCCCTTATCCGTTAAAAATCTCACTCAGATGGGAACTATCGACCCCTCTTTGATTCCCCTTTCATCTGCTCACATGAACGAAGTTCAAGCAGATGATTGGACGAAAATCTTGAGATATAAGGGGAATTTAGTCCGAATTCGGGGAGTTCGTCGACAGATCCGAAGCTTCAAAACTCCACACAGTTCTCCTCCGGATGACCAACGCCCTTAAACGAGTCTCATAGACTAAGTCCCGAGTCTGAACTTAGTAAAGATACTTTTATATTTGTGCACGTATTGATCTCCCGTACGAAGAAGTAAATGAACTCTATCTACAAGTTGTCTCTTACAGACAGAGAAGAAGACGAACATCAACTGAATCAGGTTGTATGTTTTATAACGACTTTTGTGAGCTCTCTCTCTCGATCGCGCATCAGTATAGAATAAGTCCAAGCTAATATCGTGTAATCTAATTGTCATTTTATTATCCCTCATTCATTGATATTTGTATTCGTTGTTTTTGGATTATTAAATTTACTCTTGTTAAATTTACTTAAATGTCTCTTAAATTGATTCCGAATCAGATCTCATACGCGTGTTAATCCGCGTATAATAAGATTGATTAACTGGTGTCAAGGAATCCTGACAAGCATCTGAACTTCGCAGTTCGGATCAACTTTGATAACGCTCTCCTATTAAAGTTAGAGAATTGGTCATACCGACTAGTGCCCGTAAGTGGCGTAGATTGAGACCTACGTCCTTGGCTACTCCCACAGTAACGTAACTAACTAAATTAAGAAAAAATAACTTACAGATGACTTAGCTCTACTGGATATTGGAGATGTGTACGAATACAAATTGTACATAAAAAAAAAAAGTCAACAGGTTGCGCACGATATTCGCGGACAAAATTAATAGTTCAACCGGACAGCGAGTCGATTCCCAGACTGTCCGGGTGGTAACACTATGTGACAGTTTTGTTAGGTATTATCTGGACTTAATTCTGATCATGTACATTATGGATCAAAATTGTGCAAAAATAGAATTGGGTATATATATATATATATATATATCACAATAAATTATTTGATTTAAAATTTTTCATTTTAGAAACACTTTATAACAACAACAAAGACTAGTTAGAAAATTTGTTTTAATACAAAATGTTTTTTATTTAAAACACACTTCACTAGCACTGGCCATGTAACATCAGCCAACCAAACCTATTCAGCTCCCAGCAAAACATGTAAAATGTTGCAATTCAAATGCTTTTGAAAGCCATCTAATTCCAACTTTGGTTACAGCGTTTATTCAAATCAAAATGCATCAAATAAAATTAACGTGTATTTTCTGCATCTATAAATACACATCAGATGCCTTGCCAAAATTCAAACGTGATACTAGCTCAAAGATTACAACCTTTAGTCTGTAGTAATTGCTAATGCATGCTGTTATAAATTCAAAATTTTATCATCATAATCATAAAAATTTTTCTTTTAAAATTAAGATATAAATAAATAAATCATTATCATCACTATATTNCATAGACTAAGTCCCGAGTCTGAACTTAGTAAAGATACTTTTATATTTGTGCACGTATTGATCTCCCGTACAAAGAAGTAAATGAACTCTATCTACAAGTTGTCTCTTACAGACAGAGAAGAAGACGAACATCAACTGAATCAGGTTGTATGTTTTATAACGACTTTTGTGAGCTCTCTCTCTCGATCGCGCATCAGTATAGAATAAGTCCAAGCTAATATCGTGTAATCTAATTGTCATTTTATTATCCCTCATTCATTGATATTTGTATTCGTTGTTTTTGGATTATTAAATTTACTCTTGTTAAATTTACTTAAATGTCTCTTAAATTGATTCCGAATCAGATCTCATACGCGTGTTAATCCGCGTATAATAAGATTGATTAACTGGTGTCAAGGAATCCTGACAAGCATCTGAACTTCGCAGTTCGGATCAACTTTGATAACGCTCTCCTATTAAAGTTAGAGAATTGGTCATACCGACTAGTGCCCGTAAGTGGCGTAGATTGAGACCTACGTCCTTGGCTACTCCCACAGTAACGTAACTAACTAAATTAAGAAAAAATAACTTACAGATGACTTAGCTCTACTGGATATTGGAGATGTGTACGAATACAAATTGTACATAAAAAAAAAAAGTCAACAGGTTGCGCACGATATTCCCAGACAAAATTAATAGTTCAACCGGACAGCGAGTCGATTCCCAGACTGTCCGGGTGGTAACACTATGTGACAGTTTTGTTAGGTATTATCTGGACTTAATTCTGATCATGTACATTATGGATCAAAATTGTGCAAAAATAGAATTGGGTATATATATATATATATATATATCACAATAAATTATTTGATTTAAAATTTTTCATTTTAGAAACACTTTATAACAACAACAAAGACTAGTTAGAAAATTTGTTTTAATACAAAATGTTTTTTATTTAAAACACACTTCACTAGCACTGGCCATGTAACATCAGCCAACCAAACCTATTCAGCTCCCAGCAAAACATGTAAAATGTTGCAATTCAAATGCTTTTGAAAGCCATCTAATTCCAACTTTGGTTACAGCGTTTATTCAAATCAAAATGCATCAAATAAAATTAACGTGTATTTTCTGCATCTATAAATACACATCAGATGCCTTGCCAAAATTCAAACGTGATACTAGCTCAAAGATTACAACCTTTAGTCTGTAGTAATTGCTAATGCATGCTGTTATAAATTCAAAATTTTATCATCATAATCATAAAAATTTTTCTTTTAAAATTAAGATATAAATAAATAAATCATTATCATCACTATATTGTTACTAGATATAAAAAGTTATAATCATACCTGTTTGTGAAGTGGCTTGAATAGATAATCTCTCCACGATACTAGGGCAAGCTAGTATAACATTTATAAGCATTAAAATTGTGCAAAATTTAATTAAAAATTAAATGCAATATAATTCAATGAATATAGATTATATATAAAAATATAATAAATTATCAACAATAATTTATTATATTATATATTACAAACAAACTGAGTTTGACTACACTATTTATTTATTATATTAATTATATTATTTAATTTTACATTATTTAAACAACAACATATTTATATCAATTAATATTAAATTTGCAAAATTAAGAACAATTACTCTTAAGATGCTAGGTACTGGATCAACACAATGTAAGTTTAAACCTTAGTAATTTTAGTTTTTTTTTAAATGTGTAACAAAATTTGTTATTATTTTACCATATCATTAGAATTATTATTACTATTATTATTCCTCATGTTTAAAGCTTATAAAACAAAAGATTTAAAAAATATGATAGCATTTCCTGTTTAGTGAAAATGAATTCTCTACAGATTTAATTCTTGTATATCATTAAATAAAATTTTTATTTCTTCATATTTATTTTCAGATTTCACTCATAGTTACATACTATGTCAATAGAAGCAAATAATGTTATTTTTGATAGATAAAAAAGATAAATCTGATATGAAAATAGGATAGCATCAAATAGCATTGTCACAGTTTTTTTTAACTTTTAATGTTATGGATAATTTCCTCATGCTCTCATGTTTGTTACACTTCAAATATAATATCATCTCCATACATGAAAATTAATACTAAGAGACAAAAATTTTATTTAATGATATACAAGGGCTGCCGGGATGTCGGGAAGTCCTCTCCTTCCGGCCACAGGTTGGTGACCTACTTTCTTGTCAAGGATGGCATTGCATTCAGTTATGCGTTATGCGAGTGGAGGAGAGTCGGAGGGGTCAACGATAAGATTTTGGCTATGTCAAGTGAAGAGACCATTTAAAAACAAAACAAGCATTTATTTAACTCGCTAACTAAATAAAAATTTTACAAAACTCCTTCAACTTCGCGGATGAGAGAGTTTACAATAATATTTCATACCTCTGGGATAATATCAAATGGATACTCCGGCTATAATTTCTGAAAGGCAGTGCGAGGTGGGGCACAAGGTCTTCCCATTAATGTCATCCAGTAGGTCTAAGGGAAGTTAATGTCCGTCTTGGTCGTTTGATTGGCAATTCCCACGAGAGGGGAATGAGGATGGCTTTTATACGTTTTGTGGTGGGAAAATTTGTCAGGTGACCAATTGTTTTAACAGGTGTTAGAATGTTTGTGTTTTAGCATGGTTAAAGTTGGTGNAGGTACTGGATCAACACAATGTAAGTTTAAACCTTAGTAATTTTAGTTTTTTTTTAAATGTGTAACAAAATTTGTTATTATTTTACCATATCATTAGAATTATTATTACTATTATTATTCCTCATGTTTAAAGCTTATAAAACAAAAGATTTAAAAAATATGATAGCATTTCCTGTTTAGTGAAAATGAATTCTCTACAGATTTAATTCTTGTATATCATTAAATAAAATTTTTATTTCTTCATATTTATTTTCAGATTTCACTCATAGTTACATACTATGTCAATAGAAGCAAATAATGTTATTTTTGATAGATAAAAAAGATAAATCTGATATGAAAATAGGATAGCATCAAATAGCATTGTCACAGTTTTTTTTAACTTTTAATGTTATGGATAATTTCCTCATGCTCTCATGTTTGTTACACTTCAAATATAATATCATCTCCATACATGAAAATTAATACTAAGAGACAAAAATTTTATTTAATGATATACAAGGGCTGCCGGGATGTCGGGAAGTCCTCTCCTTCCGGCCACAGGTTGGTGACCTACTTTCTTGTCAAGGATGGCATTGCATTCAGTTATGCGTTATGCGAGTGGAGGAGAGTCGGAGGGGTCAACGATAAGATTTTGGCTATGTCAAGTGAAGAGACCATTTAAAAACAAAACAAGCATTTATTTAACTCGCTAACTAAATAAAAATTTTACAAAACTCCTTCAACTTCGCGGATGAGAGAGTTTACAATAATATTTCATACCTCTGGGATAATATCAAATGGATACTCCGGCTATAATTTCTGAAAGGCAGTGCGAGGTGGGGCACAAGGTCTTCCCATTAATGTCATCCAGTAGGTCTAAGGGAAGTTAATGTCCGTCTTGGTCGTTTGATTGGCAATTCCCACGAGAGGGGAATGAGGATGGTTTTTATACGTTTTGTGGTGGGAAAATTTGTCAGGTGACCAATTGTTTTAACAGGTGTTAGAATGTTTGTGTTTTAGCATGGTTAAAGTTGGTGTTAGAATGACAACATTATGACAAATTTCGCCGGTAATTGTAAACTATACATGGTTTGATTGTGAGAATGTTTATAGTTAAATAGAAAGAGTTATAAATTTCTCATGCACTTTATATTTCGTTTCTGTAGGTTCAAATTCCTCTAGTTAAAGGAATTTATTATAAATTTAAAGGATTAAATTCCTTTATGAAATTATATAAACTTCAAATTTCACAGTTAAAGCTACAGAGATTTCATTTTCACTAAACAGGAAATAATGTAATGGAATAATATATTGCTTTTAACCCCTAATATTGTTTAACACTTAGTCTAGATCAAATAGATACATATTAAAAAAAGCCATAATTTATTCTACAATTTTATTAATAAGGTGTTACATAATCATTAAAGATTTTGTAAATCAATGTCATTCAATGGTGTGATAAGCCCATATGTACGAGGCGTGTCCAGAAAGTAAGTACCATTTTGGAAAAACTCGCATAAAAAATCTTTTTTCAAAACAAAATTTATTTTTACATGAAAGAGCATGTCGGAAACTATTTTTCTACATAGTTACCACCATTGTTCAGACATTTGTCATATCAGGAAACCAACTTGTCTATACCCTCTTCAAAGAAAAATGCCGCCACTGAAGACAGCCACTGCTGTCATTGGTTGTTGCGTGTTCATCGCTGGCAAAGTGCCTCCCTCCAAAATCACGCTTCAAGTTCAAGAACAAATGGTAGTCTGCAGGTGCAAGGTTAGGGCTGTACGGCAGGTGATTGAACTGCTCCCAACCGAACTGTTGAATAAGGTTTTGAGTGGCACCAGCAGTACAGGGACGTGCGTTGTCATGAAGCAACACAATGCCTATACTGAGATTTCCACGCCTTTTGTTTTGAATTGCACAGTGAAGTTTTCGCAATGTTTCACAGTATCGTTCCGCATTGATGGTTTCACCTCTAGGAAGGAACTCTCAACAAGCAGAACGTCCTGTCTACCCCAGAACACAGTGCACATGATTTTTCGTGCTGACAACGTTGTTTTGAATTTGTGTCTTGTGGAAGACCATGAGTGCCTCCACTCAATCGACTGTTATTTTGATTCTGGAGTGACATGACAAACCCAAGTTTCATCACCGGTAACAATTTTGTTTAGGAAATCATTACCCTCTTCACTGTATCGGGTAAGAAATGTTAAAGCACTTCCAAGTCACTTTGTTTTGTGGACATCCGTAAGCACTTTGGGAACCCAACGGGAACACAATTTGCAATAATTTAAGCGATTTGTGACAATCTCATGCAAAACAGTTTTTGAAATTTGTGGAAACTCATCACAAAGCAATCTTATTGTGAACTGTCTGTCTTCAAGAATTTTCTCACTCACTTTTGCAACCAAACCATCATTGACAACAGAAGGCCGGCCACTCCGTGCTTCATCATGAACATTGGTGCGTCCTGCATTGAATTGTCGAACCCACTTTCTCACCATTACATTTTCACCATAAATCTCTACAAGTTGACGATGAATTTCAACTGGCTTAACATTCTTTGTGTTCAAAAACTGTATTACAGAACGCACTTCACAGTAGGCAGGATCGGCAATTGTCTTAAACATTTTGAATGCTCACTAACACGTGGAAAAAACAACACAATCCGGCTCTAATGGCATCATTGGACTGACAATCAACCAGAGACATGTGTGCGCAGGTGCTGAACTGCGATACTACCGCTGCGGTGGCGGCAAAACGAAACGGTACTTACTTTCTGGACATGCCTCGTACATGTGTCTATTTGATCTAGACCAAGGGTGGGCAACCTTTTTTATAACATGGGCCAGAATAAATTTTACGTTTTTTCCGCGGGCCATAGTAGTTAATCGATACCTTGTGACCTGTAAATTTTTAGTCTGCAAATATTAAATAAATAAATAAAAAGAAATTAATTACTACAGTCGACCCCCCTATAACACTGTTGATTATTCCGTTTTATATGAATTCCATGTTGTATGAGTCACTTAAATTTTACAAATGCATGTGCCGGGCTGTGAACGACTCACCTATTTGTAAAATCTAAGTGACTTTAAACATAATAAAAACAGCCCTATGTAGTTGGATACGACAGACATTACATTTTCTAATTGCATAGCTTTTGCACATAGATTTTCTTGATGGATGATGCGATGAGATATAAATAATTTAGAAAAATTCTGTTCTCCCATTTTTTGTTTGAATAAGGAAATGACTCCCTTATTTTTTCCTGTCATTGCTGCCGCAACACTTCAGAAAATAATATTCAATTTAAACTAGACGAATTACGTCAAAAAATATTTATTTATAATTTCTTCTAAACATCTCGCGGGCCGAATAGAAACTCTTCGCGGGCCGTAGCTGGCCCGCGGGCCGAGGGTTGCCCACCGTTGATCTAGACTAAGTGTTAAAGGAAATAATGTCACATTTTTTAAATTTCTTGTTTAACACGTACCTGAACCAGTTACCAGTGCTGGAGAAAAGACGAATAAAAATCATAAATGTTTTTGAACCTTACTAGTTCTTCTTCAGTTGATAAAAAGCAATGGAACATAGAACAAAAAATAGAATATGGATATTTAAACAAAATCGAACCCACTTGCAATTTAAAAAATGTAGGATTGGACATGCGCACTGCGGGTAGACGATGATTAAAAGTCCATGTCAACGAGGGCCTGCCAGGCGACGGACAGATTGAGTTCCTCTTTATAATTTATGAAGGTGGTGGCACGGCTGGATTTATAAATGGAGATAGCCTCCAACCACCTTAGGTGCTCAGGGTGAGGCGAATAGGTGATGAGCCTCACTTGGTTGAAGACTGCCTCGATGCCAGGATCAACCGCGTAAACTGCAAGAGCGGCAGAGTCCCTCCCATGCAGAATGCCTGCATTGTGTTCACGTATTCTGATCTCCAATGATCGTTTGGTTGAACCGATGTACACAAAGTTCCTGTCACACCTGTGGTCCTTAAGCGGTACAGAGTTAACATCTGGGAGTCTGTTGGGATTGGGGGAATCCTTCCCGTTACGGAGAATGTCCAAGATGGTTGGATATCTTCTGCATGCGATGTTAATGCAGCATTTGTTGGCAATCTCCTTATATAACAAAGCAATGTACAGATTATAGGTGATGGATACCCGCGTCTTATCCTCTGAAAGGTTGTCATCACGTGAGCTGATGGTGGACGCACATGTGGAGCGGTGGTAATTTCTTGTTTTATAAGCTTTAAACGTGAGGAATAATAATAATAATACTTCTAATAATATGGTAAAATAATAATAATTTTTGTTACACATTTAAAAAAAATTAAAATTACAAAGATTTGAACTTACATTGTGTAGATCCAGTACAATCCTTATCGACTTGGCTATCACCAGTACAAGGAGAAACAAATCTTCCAAAGGCTTAATAGTCAATTTTCAGAGGCCCAATGCTCAGAAATGCTTGAGAAGTGGGTCCTATTATTTAGACAAGGAGCCCTGCGTTTCTTTATGCAATGCTCAAGACGCGCTTTACAGTGAACACACTGAAACTGGTTTCTAATTGGCCAACACTGCTTGTGATGTCATTTTGCTACACTATCTCTGCATAAAGACACACAGGGGAGCTGTTTGTGTTTCGGTCACAAGTTTCATGTGAATCCAAGACTCAGATATCTGGCCCTCTCCCTGTTAGAGAGCACCAGTGATTATAGCTACACAACTTATTAGTTAATGAAATGGAACACATTTATTTGACGTGAGTTCATTGCATTGGCCACTTTTTAATCAAAAAAACTAAACAATTACAGCTGGCTGTATTTTTCAGGCAAGAAACTCTTACTTTCAAAATATAAGAAAGGGAATTCAACAAGGTCCAACAGGTAACAAACTTTGGTCTAGTTATATATACTAAATATAGGCACCAAGATAGGTACCATCGTGGCAGTCTGTGGCCTAAGTTATCATCAGTTATTTGCAAATTAGAAGTTATGAAATGCACATCATGGTGAACCAAATGTCAGTTTACCACAACAGATTATGGTCTGAATTAGAATAAGACTTTTTAAATTTAATAGAACAGATAGATAAATTAGATAGTGCTTATATTTTGTTTATTATTTTTCTCAAGAAAAAAAAAATAATACTAAAAGAAGAAACAACCATTGAGCAAACAGCTCATTAGAAAATCTGAATTATCCAATGAGTAGAATTCAATTTGACATAGTGCACTAGTCATTTTTTAAATGGTTACTTGCTGATTAGTTGACAACTAAACAATCATTAGTGAACTACTTTTTGCATTTGGAGTCGAAATGCCAAAATTACTGGTAATTTACCAGTAAACCAGTAATATTTTTAAAACTACATTTTCACTGGTAATAAAAAAGTCAGTAAATTTACAACCTCTAAAACAACCTGAACAAACCAAAAACCTGTCTAAAAAAGAAAACACACTTTGAAACAAAGCAATTTTCAACGTAAATTTTATTATAAGATAAAACCTGTCTAAAGTGGAAATGGAATAAATTTATAAGTACAAAGAATGTAACTTAACATGAATGAAGCAGAAAATTTAAGATTCCATATTAAGACAAAAAGTAAAACTGCTACCAAGTATAAGTCACAGCAAAGCACAACAAATTATATTTCAAAAACAATTTCAAACCTTTTCAGAGAAACAAGGGTAATGTAACAAAAAGACATACAAACACAAAATCGTTATTAATATTGGGGAAGAAAGTAAATACTTTTAAAAATAGTAAACTTATAAAAATCAAACAAATTTCCAAAAACTGAATGCCCAAAAACAAGCACTGTTCATGAGGTAACAGTTCTGTTGATTTGTCTTGTATGGAGTAGTTAGAACTAATTAGTGCCAAGTATTTGAGATAATAAGCCAATAACAATGTTGCTAACTACAATGTTGGACATTGAAGTTAACAATAAATTAGAGTATTAAAATTCCTCAGAAAGTAACATCATACAAAAATTTGGTCTCTGTATTACTGTATTGTGTTTAGAATTTCTTCCAAAAGAGAGAGCCACAAATTTCCGGTTCTCAAATTGGCTTGTTTGCTGCCATGTGAGTTCTTAAGAATTGCATCCAAGAAGTATTCAAATACATAGAACAAGTAAATATACTCATCAATCGTAAACCCAATATCTTAAGCAAATACAGTGGGTGATCGGTTAACAAACATAATCCGTTTTAAGACTGTGTTCGCTATCCAAATTGTTCGTTAATCGATTTACCATAGGTTTTAATGGGAATTTAATTAATTCGTTCTGGAGACCCCCAAAAATAAAAAATATATACTTTCTTACTACATTTAGTTATATGTAATAATAAAAATACATACATACACAGTCTTTTGTTTTAATTAGTCATGTTTTTTTCGTTTGAAAGGGTTAAAGAACGTGTCTAATGTTGATTGCTTTTCTTTCTTCTTCAGGATTTTTCGTAATTAATGGCATTGCAATTGTAAAAATCCCCAAGCCTCAACCTGGTTTGGATGCCATTCTAAGACCATTGTTCTGACATCCTCCCACTTCTTCAAAGGAACTTTAATATAAGATATCGGCATTAATCCTCTTTTTCAGAAGAAAACATATCTCACCAAGTTTCTTGGTGTTCTTCATTCAAGAGTTCTTGGCGTTCTTCTGTCATCAGATCCGTTTCAGGTTCCATTACGAACTCTTCGATGTTCTTTATTTCTCAGATGTGATTTTTGTTACTTCTTTAGCTGCTTGAGTCTTCTTCATTATACAGTATTTTTCTTAGATAAGATTGAACTGTGACCTACTGTAGACTTGTTCGTGCCATACTGCCCAGCAACATTAGGCATCTTCTGCCCACTCTCTACCTTTGCTATTATACTCTCACTTTTAAAAGAAAAACAGACACAAAACTTAATGAGTGCCTACCCGATACTCTCGCGAATACATAAAAGAATTGTTTTGTCAGAAAAATAAAAGGCTGGAATTACAAGAGAGAGTTTCATAGTTCAGAGGAATACTATCCGATCAGTATATACTGACTTAAGCGGCGATGTCAATGTCTCCCACACTCCGAGAAGTTTCGAATTGTTGCCCGAAGACAAGAGAAGACCAATCGGTATTCATTATTTTACGTCGCTTCTTCTTGTGTTTGTTCTGTAGGGTGTTAGTTGTCCGAACATAAAAATCTTTTGCGAAAGTGTTCGTTATCCGATCTGTTCATTAACCAATCACCCAATGTACACCTACAACTGCCGTAAATGGTCGGACTATGTTTTTGATATATGATTATATATTAGAAATGAATTTGGCACTAGAGTGAGGCATTAGGTACCATCTCTTATTAAAATTAATGATTATAATATTTAATTAATTAATTTAGATTAAACTGGAAGAAAAGAATTGGCCCAAAGCGGGACTCCAACCCGCAACTCCCACTTACTATGCGGATGTGTTGCCAGTTACACTACCTGGAGCTCCGGCCCAATCCTCTCTTCCAGCATGGGGGACCTCCCTCTACGAACTAGAGCGGGGAAGTGAGTGTCGTTCGGCTCTGTTTCCGATCACGTTTTCTCCGTGTTTTTTTTGTCGCACTTTGGATTATTATACATCAACGGAATCGTCTTATCGTCGGCTAACCATGAGTACATTGTTTGTTTGGATCGGATAATTCGCTATCGTGTTATTACCGTCCGAGTTTTTGGGTTTTTGTCGGCCCGCATCAGGCCAGCCATTAGCGATTGGTTCGCTATCTCGACGGTTTTCGATAGCCCGCTGGCCTGTCTATCGGTCCCCCAAATTTTGTTTTTATACGGGTATTATTCGCTGAGTTATTCGCGACTTAATTTATATCGTTAGACAAAGCAATGCTCCCTGGCCACGTGGTTGGACAGCCACTCGGCTCGGCTTAGCCGATTCTGTTTACTCTTTTGTTTTGTTTGTCTAACAATGGCTCAACCCCATGTTAGCCCTATGGGTTCTATCATGGATGACAAGAATGACTCTTTATATGATGACTCCCTCAACAAGGATGAAGAAATTGTTGAATATTCCACTTTCCGACTCAAAGCATATGATATATTAGAAGACCTAAAAGACTTCCTTCAGTCCAACAAAAATGGCCACATGGGTACCAACAAGAACTCAGGTTTTATCATCGGGCAGGCCCAAAAAATCATAGACCTTTTCGACAGTGGATGGGTCAACCACGTTTTTATGAAACTTAACCAAAAAGTCTCTGAGTTAGCCACTAAAAAAGACTGTAGAGAAATGAGCAATGGCATACACACATGTTTGAAGTCAGACATGCATAGTATGTACAAGAAGGCTCCCACCTCATTACCTACATCTGGCCACTTCTCAACCCCTTCATACAGAGAGACACTTCTGAAACCCAGGAGTACCACCTCTAGGCCTGCTAAAGCTGCCAGCAATACCCTCCTTGTCTACTGTCAGGACGAGTCCAAGGGCTCTGAGGAGACTAAAAAGATTTTAAAAGAAAAAATTAACCCAGCAAAATTAAAAGTTGGCGTAAAGGGAATTAGGAGAATCGGTAGGGGAGGTGTGGCCATAGATGTCTCTGCAAAGCAGGGCATTGTGACTCTGAAAGGTGTGATACAGGAATTGGCACCTGACCTTAAAACACAGGTTCCCCCAAAGCAGAAACCAAGAATCAGAATTGGATTTGTTCCTACACATTTGACAAAACAAGATTTTACAGATGCTGTATACAGCCAGAATGAGATAGTTCACTCTAACATGAGTGTAGAAGAATTTAACAAGGAGTTTTCTGCACATGTAACTATTAAGAATCGTGACCCAGGCATAGTTGCGTGGCTTGTGGATGTCTCACCCAGGATTAGGAAACTCTTACTGGATTCCAAACGGGTCAATATAGAATGGGTGCGTTGCCCAGTAAATGACCATTTCTCCATAACGCAATGCTTTAAATGCTGTGGGTATGGCCACATCAGTACCCTGTGTACCCAAGAGAGGGCAACATGTAGTCAATGTGGGGGACAACACCATTTCAAAGACTGTCCAAACAAGAACACTACTGCTGAATGTACTAACTGCAAGAAAAACAAAAATACAGAGTGTGCACACAATGCATTTGATAAAGAATGTCCCACCTACAAAAGGATGAAGTCACGACTAATACAAAGAACTGACTATGGGGAGTGAACCGGATAGGATTAGAATTCTGCAGATTAACTTACAACGCTCAATTAATGCCACTTCACACCTCTGTACCATTATTAACAACTTTGACCTTATCCTTGCCCAGGAACCCTACTGTGTTAAGAATAGAGTCGCCGGCCTTTCACATTCCCACTTAGTCATCCAGTCCCGCAATTCTTATCCATGGGCTACCATCATCATCCCCAGAAACAGACTGCATGTTCTGTTTCACCAGCACTCCAGCAACGACAAAATGGTCTGGGTTGAGACCAAGCTGGGGGATAACACCATCATTATCGGTAGCTTCTACTGTCAAAAAGGGGATAACTACCACTCCATCATGAAAAACCTCGATGCAGCCATCAAGAATTTCTCCCATGCACAGTTAGTCATAGGAGGTGACTCTAATGCACACTCTCCAACCTGGGGTGGGGATCAACTAGACGGGGAAGGAAAGGCCTTTGAAGATCTTCTGGCCTCCAACGGCTTGCTTTGTCTCAATGACCCCAACTCCCCCCACCTATCAGGGACCCAATGGGTTCTCTTGGATTGACATCACTCTGGCCACAACTAGAAGCCACACTTGGATCCACGACTGGCATGTTTGCGAGAGCGATAGTCTCTCTGACCATAGTGGGTTTGAGTTTTCCATCTGCGCTGGCTCAGGCAAACCTATTGTAAACAGTATTAAACGCTACAATGTAAGAAGAGCCAACTGGGAGGATTTTTACAAGACACTTGATACACTTACAACAACTACAGGCATGGTAACATCAAGGGACTCAGCCATTAATGCTGCCAACAGCACTATTCAGGCAATCGACAAAGCCTGCAAGAAAGCCATTCCACTTCGTAAACACAGCACTATGGGTGTACCATGGTGGAATAATGACCTAGCCAACATGAGAGCGATTAACAACAGGCTGCGTAAGCAGTTCCAAAGGAGCAGGGGTTCAGAAAGAGACACCCTTAAGCAGCAATACCTGACATATCAAGTAAATTACAAAAAGGCAATAAAGGAGGCAAAGACAACATCCTGGAGAAACTTCTGCTCTGCAGCCCACATCAACCCATGGGGCTTTGTATACCGCCTCTGCGCGAATAAACTTAAACACCCTTCTTGCCTGTCAACCCTTAACACGAATTATGGTCACACCACTGACTTGAATACCACCATCAACGCCATTCTGGACACTGTCTGCCTGGAAGATGATCGTACAGAGGACACTGGGCTCCATAATACCATCAGGGACTGCACTGGCAAACCTCTGGACACGGAGGATGCCCCACTTTTCACCCATGCTGAGGTTAACTGGGCTATCGGCAAACTCCCCCCACATAAAGCACCTGGTTTGGATGGCATCACAACTGAGATTGTGAAGAATATATGGACCAACCGCCCAACTGTCATCATCCATTTGATAAACACTTGTTTCCGTTATGGTGTCTTCCCAGACAAGTGGAAGGAAGCTAGGATTGTCCCCATTCCAAAGGTTGCAAATCAACCCATCTGCACTCCCAACAACTATCGCTGTATTTCCCTTTTACCTACTCTATCCAAAGTCTATGACCGTCTTCTATGTAACAGGCTAAGCTGGCACCTCGAGACTACTAACTTCCTCAGTCCCCAACAATTTGGCTTTAGACAAGGCCGGGGTACAACGGATGCCATTCTTGCTATGACTAATAAAGTCAAACATCTTCTTCAGTCCTATCCGTATGTCTTGGGGCTTAGCCTGGACATCAGTAATGCCTTCAATGCTGCTTGGTGGCCGCTCATTCTTCAACAGCTGCGGCAGGCTCGATGTCCTGCCAACATCTATAATGCTTATAGTGACTACCTCAATAACAGGTATGTCACCTTCTCTTCTGGCAACCTCGATTTTAGGAGAAGGGCTTACAGAGGTTGCCCTCAAGGTTCTGTCTCAGGTCCAGTTCTATGGAACCTTCTTTTTAATGACTTTCCCACTGATATTTCAGGTTGCGACAGGATCTTTGCATATGCTGACGATGCAATGATCCTAGTGGCGGCCTACTCTCGCTCTGATTTGGAGTGCAAGGCCAAACTTCTTATTGACAACGTCTTGGAATGGGGCTGCACTCATAAACTGAAGTTCAATGCCAACAAAACCAAAGGTATCGTTTTCACCAATCCTAGAAAACCCCATCTGTACCGTAGGCCACCCACTATAAAAATGGAGGGGTCTCCATCAAGATCTCTACTACTATTAAATACCTCGGGGTCATTATCGACCATAAACTCAGCTGGGCCGACCACATCAAGCATGTAACGGACAAGACTAACCATCTGTTTAATTATGTCTCTAAGGTGGCAAAGTCCAAATGGGGTTTATCCCCAACTATTCTCTCTATCATTTATGATAGTGTCTTTCTGCCTATGATCTGTTATGCTGCCCCTGTTTGGGCAGGCTGTTTAAGCCGTGTGCACATCGATCGAAAACTCCGTGGTGCACAGCGCAAAGCCCTCCTGCACATCTGCCGTGCCTATTCCACCTCTTCCACGGCTGCCTTACAGATCATCTCTGGCAAACTTCCTATAGACCTTGCCATTCTACTGGCATCCAAACGTTGGCACCTCCGTAAAGGTCATAGCATTTCACTATCCAGCCAGTCTTTCTCGGTATACGAGACCTTTTGCCACCCGAAGGATCTACTTCCTCCTTTTATGAGACCCCACATACATATGCACCCACTGGACAACGACCACTTTTCAATATTCACTGATGGGTCCAAAACTGCAGACAAAGTCGGTAGTGCCTTTGTGGCCTATCGCAAAGGAGTTGAATTCTACAATGCATCCGGTCACCTTGCTGCAAACAGCTCTGTTTAACAGGCAGAACTTACAGCCATCCTATTAGCCATCGACTGGTGCAATGAAAACTACAGTGATAACCGGATAAACATATTTACAGATTGTCAATCTACGATAGAGGCCATCAACAATCATCTACCACGGAACCCGATCGTGGTCAAGATACAAACTAGTATTGCACTCTCCACCAATGTCTTTGCCATCGCTTGGATTAGAGGTCACACTGGACTGCAAGGTAATGAAAGAGCAGACTATCTGGCAAGGGAGGCTGCCAGCCTAAACAGTGGCAGCAGTCTCTATTCCTACATTCCTGTCACCTACATCAAGTATCTCCTCAAAAATGAAGCTATGAACACCTGGCAAACAAGATGGAACAACACTGAAACGGGAAGGATAACCAAAAGTTTCATCCCAAGTGTTTCTCACAATAACCGGACCATTCTCCACCGTGATACTAGCCTTGTCACCCAGTTCCTAACTGGCCATGGAAAGTTTAATAGCTACCTGGTGAGATTCAATAAATCAAACTGTGACCATTGCCAACTATGTGGTGTGCCGGACGGGGTGGAACACTACGTCTTCCACTGTCCCATGCTGGAGGATGCACGTGTACCCATTCGCATGCTTCTTCCTACTGATAAATCCTGGCCTTGTCAACATAGCGACTTGTTGATGAATAACGAGCTGTTCATGGCCTTTCTGAAGCTGATAAAGAACTACTTCTGGCGAACTCCTGTCAACTGAGTAGTGGATTCCATATTCCCTACTACGTACTTTATCTGTGTATATTGTGCATCTTGTATGTTACTTTCTTTGTATGTATTATGTAAAGCACTATCTGTAATGTATCCTCTTTTATATGCTTTTATATTTTCTTCATTTTATTTTATTTATTTATTTATTTCATTTTTATTTTATTTTTATTATTTTATTTTTTCTTATCCTAATGTTCATATATATGCTTATCTTATAATACTCTGTAAATTTACCCTGTTCTAACTGTGCATCATACCCGGTTGTGCTAATGCGGTACCGGGTCTGTACTTTGTGTACTAATAAAGAATAATGTCTGTCTGTCTGTCTGTCTAATCTTTTCTCCCGACTGCTTAATCGACCGAATAGTCGACTCATTTAAATTAAAATGCCTACTAATATCAGCTATCTGCTCTTGATTTTTAATTCAATCCAAAATTTCTATCTTTGAAAAGTTATAAATTTCTTTTTTAACGACGGTCCTTTCTTTTCATTCGGCATTGTTATGTTATGTTATGTAATTTTCGTAAAAATTTTTTCAATCAGCTTTGTGGACAGTAAAAATCGCAAAAAATAACTTTTCTTCACTGTGGTTAAAAATATACATCCAATAGAAGTTTATACTGTATTTTGGACCATTTTTCCTATCCCCACTTATTGAAAATTTAGTAATATATTTGAGTGTTTACAGTAACTGATTGACATCTGTCTAGAAACCGGTCTTCCCCTGAAACTTTCAAGGGAATAAATAACATGCGAACGGCGACAATCAGCTGTTTTCAAGGACATTTAGTTCTGTATGCCAAAATGCAGTTCGTATCACGCGATCCGTTGTGATTTTTCTGTTATGTGAAATATAATTCGTTTCTAAATACCGTAAACTGCGTTGTAAGAAAATTTCCGCATTTTTCCAACCGCGTTGGAGCAAAAACGCATTGTAAAGGTACCGCGTTGTAGGAGGCCTACCTGTACCTGTCCTTTTGATAGTCTGTTTAGTGACGTACACTGATTTCAATGAAAATTAGGAGGCGATTGCAGGTATAATTACGATTCTGCCAATTATTAAGCTAATTATTCAAAGAAAATCTCAGAAAATTAAGATATTTTACATTAATAAACTAAAATTAATTGAATTATATTAATCGCTATTAGAAAATTAGTATTACAATAAAACACCGTAATTTCATACTCTCAGTTTAAAACATTTTGTGGTCTCAAGACACGTTCGTAGTTATTTATTCATTTTTATTAAGAAAAGTGGATTATAACCGCCCATTGAAAAGTACGAAAACATTCAGTGTGGCCCTGGTGGAGATAAGATTAAAACTCCTGTGTAGAACAATACTCTCAAAGACAGTTGAACGCCCAATTTTAACAAAACTAGTTTAAATGCAATAAATTTATTCCCACCATACGAAAACCATTATAATAGAGTCGATCTTATAATCGTACTCTTCATGAAAATAGTCGACATCTCCTGGGACTGATATATAAAGGTAAAAACTTAAATGCAACGTAGTTCATTAGAGGAAACACTTCCAAAAATGCTCGAGCTGGTGTATCGGTTCACTCTAAATACCTTTGATGGAAAATATACACGAAACATCTCTTCTCTACCCTTTTGAATTCAGAATATTTCAGCATTTCCAATTGCTTTTTAATTCTCCTATAACCAGTTTTAAGTGCATTTAAAAAGTAAAAAGCAAAAGCATCCACTCTCTCTCCATGAAATATTGTGAGCCTGTATTTATCATTGTAGATTGAATAATTCATAATTTTATCTGTAATTTTCCCTAAGGCAAAATCTTCACAGATAATGACACATTTGTTTTGTTCCTCTGGGATGTGCAATTTGTGGTATACATTCTTTATTTTCTCTATCAAATCTGTTAACTCATAAAATAAACATCGGATTCCAAAGTGTTTCAACGAATACTTAATAATATTGAAACCTGGAATGTTTGGAAACATTGATATTTGTATTTCTGCTGTTAATGCCAACTTATAATGATCAGGAAAAAGGCATGTGCCATCATTTCGATACAATTTTTCAATAATGTTCAAACGTTTATAACCTGAAATAAAAGGAAGTATAGTTTCTCCAAATCCAATAAGATCATATGTAGACTGAATCGTAAGTTCAGGTTCCTCTCCTAAATCTACAACAAACCAATTGTATTGAAAATGATCGTCGAACCCAACGTACGAATGTAGATTTTCCGATTCGTCGATTGCAGAGTATATTACACTAAGAGGAATTTTCCTTGTGATCATTGTTACTCGGTGATACATTATATTTATGATGATATCTCTCCACAGGATATACACTCGGCTGCATAAATCTAATTCCTCACCTTTCAAGTATTGAAATATATTAATCATTACTTCTGGCAATTCTCCAATTAAAGTGCAGCCACGTGGCGATATTGCACCTATTTCCGTTGTTTTTTCAAGTGTGGTTTCTGCCATTTTGGAAATTCCCTGTAAGATTATAAGCGCTACAAAGAAATCACTTGCTGTCACATGGCAAAACAGTTTATGGATTTTAATCACTATGGAGTGAAAACTAGGTTCACACGAGATCAAAGCCTGAAGTGCACTAACCGAGTCAGTGTAGATCACACAGTGACTATGACCTTTTTGGATTACATACTTTAAGGCTATATGAATAGTGTGCAGCTCTGCAGTAGAGATAGAAGGATTCGGTGATATTTGTTCTGCCACAATTTCATCCTGGCAGACAAAAGCTGAGATGACGTAATCATCCGATTTACAACCGTCAGTGTAAATAGGAATTAAGTTCCTGTCATTGTGTTGGATTTCTGAAAACTGCTGTCTGTAGACATAGTCTGGAGTGAATTCCTTAGGAAACTGCTTTAAGCAAAAGTCAACATTTATCACAGGAGTTGACCAAGGTGGTATACTATTGACCTCGGCCTCTAAAATGTTGCTTGTGTCCAGGTCAATCGTGCTGCTTACATTCTCCATTCTTATGACAAATGTTGGAACACAACTTGGGCAAGCTTCAAATAACCTATTCAGTGGAGTATCTAATACTGTACAATCAACTGAAGGTTTCGTGTGAGATTTCTGTTTTATATAGTGAAATAGAGACAACTGTTCTCTCCTGAGAGATAGTGGAGGCTCATAAGCATCCACAAACAAACTTTGTACAGGAGAAGTTCGAAAAGCGCCAGTGCACAAACGTAGTGCTTGATGGTAGATTGGATCCAGCATCTGAAGCGTAGATTCTTGCACAGAGCCATAAACAATGCAACCGTAATCCAGCTTAGAGCGAACAAGGGCCCTATAAATCCTGAGCATAGAAACTTTGTCTGCTTCCCAGGATGAGCAGCATAGTACCTTTAAAAGGTTTAAAGATTTTAAATATCTACTCTTCAAGTTGCGCAAGTGTGGCAAGAATGTGTTTTTGGTTAAAAAAAAACACCCAAAAACTTAGCCTCATTCACCATAGGAATTTTATCCCCATTTAAATAAATTTCAGGATCCAGGTGCAAACCACGCCTTCGGCAGAAGTGGATGCACAATGTCTTCGCTGCGGTAAACGTAAAGCCATTGGTCTTGGACCAATCATATATGTGATTTCAGGAAGTTTGAAGTTGTCTCTCAATAAAACTCATATTACTAGACTGGCAGGAGATCTGAAAGTCATCCACATACAAAGAGTGTTTACACCGGGAGGGAGACAGTTAGCTATGCTATTAATTTTAATTAGGAACAGAGTCACACTCAAAATAGAATCTTGATAAACACCTTCTTCATGTGTGAAGAGCCTAGATAAAGTGTTGCCCATCCTAACTTAGAATCTTTGATTCTGTAAAAAGCTTTTTATAAAAATTGGCAAATTACCCCGCAATCCAAATTGGTGTAGATCACAAAGTATCCCGTATCACCAACAGTGATCATAGGCCTTCTCTATGTCAAAAAACAGACACTAAGTGCTGTCTTCGAACAAATGCTTCGCGTATAGATGTTTCAAAGTTTACCAGGTTTTCAGTGGTACTTCTGTTCCTACGAAAACCACTCTGATATGGTGAAAAGTATTCCTTTTTCTCTAAGAGATACACTAGACGTCTGTTTACCATTCTCTCAAAAATTTTACAGAGACAACTTGTCAGAGAGATTGGTCTATAGTTAGAGGAATTCTTGTGATCTTTACCAGGTTTGGGAATGGGAATAATGGTAGATAGCCTCCAAGTGTCGGAAAAAGTATGTTCTGTCCATATTCAGTTAAACAGATGCAAGAGATTAGAAATGGAATTGTTTGACAGATTTTTAATCATGCTGTAGTGGATTTTATCCGGGCCTACAGCACTATTCCCCAAGCGAGAGATTGCTGTATGTAATTCAATTCTAGTGAATGGCACATTATATTCCTCATTAGATGAGGAGTAAAAGTTTAAACACTGTTTTTCTCTTTGGGCTTTATAAGCCTGAAAATTCTTTGAATACGCAATATTACTAAATGAAGCAGAAAATGTTTCATCCAATGTATCAGCAATACGCTGTATATCGCTGGTTATTGTGCCATTATTTTCCAGCATGGACAGACAGTGAGAAGTATATTTCCCATTGATTTTATGGATTTTATCCCAGACTGCTTTTGAGCTAGTGGAAAATGTTATGCTTGAAACATACTTCCTCCATGAGTCCCTTTGGCTTTGCTTCCTTATTCTTCTGGCATTTGCCTTTGCTTTTTGAAAAGCAACGAAATTTTCAGCAATGGGGTATCATCTAAAAATCCACCATGCTTTCTTTTGTGCTTTAAATGCTGCCTCACAATTCTGGTTCCATTATGGTTTAGGATGTTTTGAATATCTAGTTGATGTATTCCCCATTGTTTTTTCTGCTGCCTGAATGATACTGGAAGTGACAACCTCAACTGCATCATTGATATCAGCAGTATTGACCATTTCCTCAGTGATGTTAGCCAAAGAGGAAAATGAAGGCCAATCTGCCATTTCGAGTTTCCAGCGTAGAGGATGGGCTGTTTCACAGCTTTCTCTGCCTCGATATTTTAGAAATATTGGGAAGTGGTCGCTAGAGAGTGGATTACATCCAACCTCCCATGAAAATGCTGAAAACAGGTTTGGACTTGCTAATGATAGATCAATGGCAGTGAATGTTCTTGTAGGGGCATGAAAGTACGTCACTTCTCCCGTATTAAATAAATAGATTTGCTGATTGCCTATGAATCTTTCAATGGTCCTGCCTCGACAATTAATGTCGGGACTGCCCCACATCGTATTGTGACCATTGAAATCACCGAGTAACAGGAACGGAGTTGGCAGCTGTTCGACTAATGCGTCCAAATCATCCTCATTGGCTCTGACGTCTGGTGGCAAGTATATAGAACAAACTGTGACAGTTACACCAATTGAAAGTTTGACTGCCACAGCTTGCAAATCAGTGGTTATTTGTATCGGTAAAGATGGGATGTCATTTGAAACCAGTATAGCCAGTATAGTGGTTTGAAACCAGTATCAAGGATGATGATAGCAGAGGGCTATCATCATCCTTGCGACAGAGATTGAATCCTTTTAAAGAAATATTTTCTCCAGGTTTTAGATGGGTTTTCTGGAGTGCCACACAGAAAGATGAGGTAGATGATGTCAAGTGTTTAATGTCAGAGAAGTTGTTGCGGAAACCACGACAGTTCCATTGGATTATTTTATAATCCATTGTGTGTTTGAGGCAGCATTCTTTGCGAGGGTATCCCTCTTTAATTTCATAGACGGTTTCTCTTTTGGAGGTGACTTTGGTTTTGACACCTCCATATAATGCTCTTCATCAGATATGTCAGAAAACTCACTCATAGATTGAGCTTCTGATTTTTTTGAGACTTTAGAGACGGCTGCTTTCACTCTGTTTGTTAAGTGGGTTCTTACTGGCTTTTTTAGAACCCACATTTCTGGTTGTTACTCCCATTTTAGTTACAAAGGTTTTGGTCTTTGTGTTCTCCTTTTCTTCTAATTGTGCAGATGGGATCAATAAACATTTTGCATGGCAAGTAAGAGATTCACTTGGGGATACAGAAATATCTGTTTGAACCCCACATGTCTTGGTAGATTTCAACACAACAGCAAAGGTTTTTTGTTTCATTGGTGGACTTGGAGTGACCATACAACGGGCCTCTGTGTATGATATATTATTTATGGTTTTTAACCGTTGAACCTCTTTTTCTCTCTGCCATGCAGGGCATTTCCGAGAGTAGGAAGGATGGGCATCTCTACAGTTCACACAGCATGGGGTACTTTTACATTCAGTACTAACGTGGTCTTCATCCCACACTGTGCGCATACGCTTTTGCCTTGGCAGGATGTCTGTGAATGTCCAAACCGCTGGCATTTGAAGCAACGCAGCGGATTTGGAACGTAGGGGCAGACTGGACAGCGCGAATATCCTGCAGTAATGAAAGATGGCAATGTCAATTTGTTAAACGTTAAAATTAAGTGTTTGGTAGCAATTAACTTGTCATCTCGACGAATGGAGATGCGTCGAATGGCAGTTACACCTTGATCAGAAAGGCTGATCTGAATATCTGATTCATCTTCAGATATCAGATCGATCTCTGATATCACACCACGTGATGAGTTTAGACTTCCATGTGGGGTGACAGTTACTTCTATATCTCCCGAGTGTCTTAATTGCCAAAAGTTTTGCAGACTGTTGAGGTGAGGCTGTTTCTAGCAGATCTCCTGACCTCAATTTTTGTATTTTTTTCAAATTTCCAACTGTAGATTCAAACAGCTTCTGGATCAGAAAATGAGAACATTTTGATAGAGGTGTTTGTCCAGTAGCATGGACTATGAAGTAGGTGGGCTGACTGGAAATGATTTGTTTCCTTGTAGAATTGTCTGTAGTTTTTGTTTTTTGATCATCCATGATTATGTAATATTAATTCAGCTCCCAGTGACCCCACCCACCATGGGGCCCAACAAGGGGATGCCGTCACATGAGAGATTCCCATAGACCGTCACACCAGGGTTTCCTAGGAGCTATACCCTCACAATGCAGTCAAGAAGAGCACATCTAGTCTGACGTGTCTGCCCGGTCTGCATCGATTGGTTGACTCCAAGCCGAGGTCAAGAATGACTCAATGACCAGCCGATTGACTCAAACAGAGCCTGATTTGAGCCTCCCGTTTATCCAAAGCAGGGGCCAAAGCAGTGTGTTGGGAACGTTATGTTGCCCCTCAACTACCAGGATCCCCCTTTCCGGCATATGAGACACCACGCACGGCAAACACATGGGTGGGCGTTCATATCCCAGAGATGGTAAAGAAGAGTTACTAAACCATCTCTGGGAGGTCCCCTCACCACGGACAGGAACCCACATCGAGGGGCCGTAAACAAACTATTTCAGTTGTTTCCTGCATAGCAGGAATAGTTAATTCGCTGAATTCCTTCTAAATTTCCTTCTAAATTTCTATTTCTAAAATTCGTTGTTTTCATCTTTCAGGGCGCCTTGTTGTGGGCAACAAGGCGTCCTGAAAGATGAAAAGGACAAATTTTGAGGCACACCTCCGGTTGGTCGGTAATAATAAATTCCTGATAAATCGGTGGTGACCTCAATGGCCACGTTAGCACAACAAGAAAAAATTACAAGCGAGTGCATGGTAGGAGTGGATTCAAAGACTGGAATGCTGAGGGTGACAGGATCTTGGAGTGCGCTGAAGCTTTCAACTTGGCCGTCAACACTTTTTTCAAAAAGGAAACCAGCCACCTAGTGACCTATGCTAGTGGTAAATGGATGACCCAAATAGAAGACTGGCGGCCTCATTAGAAGACAGGACCTAAAATTTGTGGTTAATGCCAAACTAGTCCCATCAGACAATATTGCACCTCAGCACCACCCACTCCTCATCAATTTTCACCTTAAGCTCAAGCTCAGCAACACCTCAAAACCTAAAAAGACTGGACCTGAACGAATTAAGTGGCACCGCCTACCTGAACAAAAAACTCAGTTCAAGGAAGCAGTTGGTCTAAGCATGGCTAACTTCAACAACAATCCTGAACAACCAGTGTCCATCATCTGGTCCAGTGTTGTTCAACACATCCACAGGACAGCCTGAACCATCCTAGGCAACACAAAACCTGAAAGAGATACCTTGACAAATATATTTGGTGGAGGAATAAAAAAGTGCAAGCAGCCGTTAAAGAAAAAAAGGCATTCAAGAGATGGAGACAATCAAGTGTCAAAGATGGTTGGTTGGTTGGTTAACTTTTATTGGCACAAAAGCCATACAGGCTATACTGCGCCACAACACATGGTGCAATTCGAAGTAGAAAATAAATAGGAAGACATATATACACATAAACGAAAAATCACAGTTTAACCATTAAACAGCCAATGGTAATATAAATATATTATCTAAAATATGATGAATAAATAAATAAACAACAACAAAAATAAATAAAAAAACAACAACAAAATATATATACAATAATTTATATATGCAACTCAACGTAAATAAAACTGTACAATAATTAATTCATCAGATTTCCCTATACATATTAATGACTTTTAGAAAGTCCAGTATATTATCCAGATTTGGCCTCTGGCCCAAAATGTCTCTAAGGCTTGCATTTCCGAAATGCTGTCTACGACTCTGATCAGAAGCAACACAGTTGCAAAATATGTGTTTAACACTTACAGCACAGTTGCAGTGCTGACATACTGGTTCGTCATCTCCCTTCAAAAGGTATTGATGAGTCAGTCGAGTGTG